GGGTTACGGGCAGAGGAGGTGATTAATGTTTATTGGGAGGAGGTGCTGGAGAAGGATGTGGGGGAGTTGAGGAGGGAACTTGGGGTGGAGCAGCCGCCTGATTTGAGGGAGATGAGGAGACGGGAGAGGGAGGAGAGGAGGAGGAGACGGGGGGGAGTGGGGAGGGGGGAGTAAAAGGGGGGTTGTTTACAACAGTTGGGTTTGTTGTTGTTGTTGTTGTGGTGGGGGAGCTGTGTATAATATCATGACTTTTTTGCTGTATGAATGTGTATGAATATCAAAGCTGGATTGTCATTATTGAATACCGACTTGTTCGTTTAAGAAGCACTGAATTGGATATCATTATCATCATCTCCCTATCATTCCTTTTTCCCCTTTCCAACCCCCCCTCTCCCCCTCCTCTCCTCCAGTATCCCACGTAACATTGCAGGAGAAATCAAAGATCAAAGATCAAACAAATCATCATCCTCCTCCTCCTCCCACCCCTTCCGTCTCGCAACCACAATCTTCTCCTCCTTTTCCGTATCCGCCACCGCATTCAACAACTCCTTCAGCTGCTCCTCGGTGACTTTTTGCCTCAGCTGCCCCGTCTGGGCGAGCGTGATTAGTCTGTTCTCGACATCGGTCGCGCGCTGCTCCTTGACTAGGCGGATACGACCTAAACGGTCGGCGGCTTCGGGGTGGAGGATCTGGTTGAGGATGGACTTGCGGGTTTCGGCTTCGGCTTCTTTGTTTGCGCTGCCGGAGGAGGACTTTCCACCGCCATTGCCGAGGGATGATGGGAGGCCGCCGGCCGGGGAGGACTGGGATTTGAGTTGTTCGAGGCGGGCTTTGCGGATCTGTAGGAGGGGATATTAGTGGGTGGTGGAGGAATGGCAGGGGGGAAGGGGGGAAAGGGGAAAGGGGAAAGGGGAATAAAGGTACTTTTTCGAGCTCGGCGTCTTCCATTTTTACTGTCTATTGGAATACGTTATCTGGGCGGTGAAGGTGTTTTAATGGTAGATGCGTAGACGGACGGGGGCAAGGATGCCAAAGTGGTATCATGATGCCAGGGTTGGGACGGCAGTGGCAGCACAAGCGGCAACAGCAGTTTATCGCGATCGCGGGGTCACCCAAAAGATTTTGGTGGGGTTCAATTCGCCCAAGCCATTTATACGTACTGTACAAGTGAATGGGTATTTAATTGGAAGCCTTGCAGCTGCCTGCCAACGGCTTTTAAATTACCTAGGTAACTCAGGTACACGTAAGAAACTTAGAAGCATCTCATAACAAGCCTTTGACGGTACCTGCTGCGTACTTTTGAGGATGGAACACTGGGAGGAGATGAATTGAGGTGAGGAGCAGCGTGTAGGACTGACTCCCCACTTTCCCATTGTCCAACCCCCCCCTCTACCATAAACCTGGAAAGATCCACGATTGAGGAGCACACCTACTCGTAGCAGGTAAACAGAATAGAGAAGATGGATAGAACGGAAAGTACTACTTTATTAGACATCACGCTACCCAAAGTAAAATAGAAAAATACCATACCATCATATCATCGATATCCTAGACCTCGAACCTCAAAAACACAAATATCATCATAAGCATCATAGACATCGTAACAATTTGAGCCTCCAACCCAGATAACGCCTCAAACAACAAACAACAAACCACCCCCCCCCTAGAAAATCCTCGGCCTCAACCCCCGCCCAACAGGCACCTGCGGAACATTCAACTTCTCATCCACCACCCTCCCCATCGCCATCCCCTCATCCTCACCCTCACCCTCACTCTCCTCTCCGTCACCCCCCTCTGTCTCATTATACCCATGGACACTCGCCGTCCCGGTATCATTCGCCGCCCCACACCACGAACTCGCCACCAGTATGGGCGCATTCGGATGCCATCCCACATCTCTAACAATAGTGCTCCACTGACTCTCATAACTGTGCAATTGATACCTCGGATTTCTGTACCTGCCCGCGCCCCCAGTGGCCGCTTCCGTTGCAGATTCGACATCGATCTTCTTTGCTAGCGTGGCATCTATATTCCAGATGTACACATGCCCATCCGCACTTCCAGAGTAGACATACCGGCTGTCCGTGCTGTTGGGTGGCGAGAAGTGGCACCTGATGAGTGTTCGTTGGACTTTGTGGCCGCGGAAGGTCACGACCGAGTTGTCTTGGGGGTGTTGGTACCATCGTGACTCGTCATATTCTTGCCATCGGTAGTCGAACTGCCAATCCGCGGACCGGGTGATGGCTGTGGGATTTGTTGATATGAAGGTGTCCGTGGACATGGCTTTGCGCAGATCCCAGAGCTTCATGGATTGGTCTTTACCGTTGGAGAGGATGTACCGGCCATCGTGCTTGCTGTCGATGTACGTCAAGCCTTCGGTGTGTCCGACAAAGGCAGCAGCTGGCCGGGTGTCGCCGATGGAACGGGTATCCCAAACTTTGATGACGCTAAACGCAGATAGATGGGTTAGCTATCCAGCTGCGAGGCTGAACAGGGAAGAGCATAGGTACTGACCAGTCATCCGAGCCCGAGTAGAGGATGTGTGGCGACATCCTGTCAGCAAAGCAAACAGCGTTGACATCGTCAAGGTGTGCATGAATATGATGTAGCACCGTGCGGCTTTCGATATCATAGACCACAACCGAGTCGGTACTTGTGCCCGCAACAAGCTGGCGCCCGTCACCGGAGAAGCGAATCGAGTAAATGCCGAAGCTTCCACCCCACCCATCATCGTCTAGCCCTCCGGCAAAGTTTAGTGTGTATGAATCGCCAGTATCCTTCGGGTCGGTGGGAGCAATCGCAACTTCGGGCTGCAAAGAGGTGAAGGCCAGCCACCGGTTATCAGGACTGAGGTCGGCGTCGGTCATGGTCCACTGACCAAAGGGGTAGCTGAACGTCTTGTAGTACCTCCAGTTGTACACATTTGACGTATCATACAACCGCACCTTGAAGTCCTTGGTGCAAGTGTAGAAGAAGTTGCCGTCACCAGAAAACTGCCCGCAGCAAACACAGTTTTGGTAGTGAATAATCATCTCCGGCTTGGTCGACGGTAGCATCTGCTGGAGCATGAGCCCTCGGTTCCTCTGCTGCTCCACCTCGCCCAAACCAAGCTCTCGATCAAGAAGCCTCCTCGATATACCCCTAGGTCGACGTTGATGGATATCAAACGACCCAAACGATCCCGACTCCATCAATTTCCTCCCCTCCTCACTCGGCACCTTGGGAAACCGATCAGGGTCTTGTGTGTTCGGCCTCGGCTGATGCAACATGTCATCAACCTCCATGTGATCAACCCCCGCATCATTAAAGATCATGTTCGTAAGATCCTGCCCTCTCAACAAAGAAATAATCTGGTGATGGTTGAGCCCACCTCCAGCGCCTATAAATCGTCAGCTTTGTACCCCTACCCTAACAACACCCCCCCCCCCCCCCTTTCCATAGAAAACTCACCGTCCCCAGTGATCCTCACAACCCTCCTCAACACCCGACTCTCCTCCTCCCCCTCCAGCGGAGGCGGCTCATCCTCATTCCTAACAGGGATCGCCTCGAGCATAACCTCCAACTCAACCCCCCCCGGTTCCCCATCCGCCGTTCCACGAATCCGCTCATATTCTGCCAGGTCTTGCATTAGCAGCACGTCCCAAAGATCCACCTCATCATAGTTCTCCTCGCCCTGCTCCTCGCGGATGCTATCAAAGACCTCTTGCGGGATGCCGTCGTCCGCCGCACGGATGGCATCATAGAGCGCCTCCAGCGTCTGCGGGCGCCGCCAAGGTCCTCCGCCGTTGGGGTCTCCCTGGGAATTGTCGCCACTCATTGCTTGATACTGTCGATGAAAATCGAGGGTTCTTTGATGTTTTCTTGAAAGAAGAAGTGCTGTAGCAACTCAATCCTGATAAGCCAGCAGGCAGCGGGTGGTGACAAGCCGATCGATTGATAATCAAGACCTCAATCGGCGAGGGGTAGGCACAAGTCCCGCTTGCTTCAAAAGTTCAAATGCGCTCCAACAGATCACTCTCGATCAGCGCAGCTTAAATATCCGTATGTCCTCATGTCTCAGAAAACAGAGTAAGGTATTTGGAAATGCATCAAATGTGATCAAATGTGAGAGAGGCAAAAAAATGATGGCCGACCTTTGACCGAATGGTGGTATCCAATGGCACTCACCCGCCATACCCGCTGTAAAGCCATAACCAGTGACCACCCACCCTTCCTGCGGGCACTGTCACCACCACCGATAGTGACGACATTGCAGGTAACAAATCGGATGCTGTCACCCACTGTCACCGGCGGAGTTTAGCCCCGGAGTTAACCCGAGCCGTGAAAGGGTGGGACGGGAAGTGAGGGGCAACCCGGCAGGTGGTGGTCGCGCTATCGCGCTGACAAAGCGCCAGGCGCAGCAACCCTAACCCGACGGGAATGAAACTGGTTGCTCGCTGTTTTTCTCTTAATCCAGTCTCTGAGCGACCAAATGCTCAGAGACTATCCAACTCATGTAAAAGCAAGTAATTAACCATCATTATCTCCCAGTCACTAAATGATGTCTCCTCATCAGCTCATAACCTCCCTCGAGACTCCCGTCCCCCCTCAAAGCGGGGCACCCTCCCCCCTCCCCCCCGTTATCACAAACCTCCTTCATTAGGTTGCCCGGTCTCACTCACACCCAATCAGGCACAACTGCAGTCTACCGCCTCACATCTCCCTCCCGTCCCTCTCCAATTGAAAACCCAATATATCTGCACCTCAAAACTCCTGACTCACCTGCCGTGCAACACACACACACCACCGGCAGATGTCCCGACTCCCCTCCTCTCCTCTCCTCTCCCCTCCTCTCCTCTCCCCTCCCCTCCTCTCCTCCCTGCCTGTCCCTGTCCCCCTCCTCTCCTCTCCACCTGTCCCTGTCCCTGTCCGTCTCAGCTCCTCCCCCCCCTCCTCCCCACATATAACCCAATAACCTGACGCCACATCTCACACAAAAACTCCAAAAGTTGTTTCAAAACGGCCGTGTGGTGTAGTGGTAGCATACTTGCTTTGGGAAAAAATTCCTTTCTCAACACACAAAAAAGTGCAAATCAATTTGTTGCAAGTGGTCCCAGGTTCGAGCCCTGGCTCGGCCCCAATATTTTTGCTATATCTTCTTTATTCTATCGTAAAATGATAATATCATTTTGATGTTTTACCATTGAAGCTCTCTGTGATTGTTCTGCTTGCAGTATCGTAAAATCCTAACCATCTACACCTTGCCCCCATCTATTTACCAGGTATAATATCATTTTGGTATTTTGAGTAAAGGCTTTTCAACCTTGTAGTTGCTCTAGTTATTCTAAGTGCAGTATCCTGGAAACTTTAACCATCCACACCTTTTCCCCCATCTATCTATTCTTCCTCTCTAATCACCCCCCCCCCCCCCCCCACTCCAACATCCCAACGCCTCAATAAACAATCATATCCAAACCTCTCTCTCTCTTCCCCCATCAATTATCTAACCTTGTATCTTATATCTTCTATCTTGCACCCCATCTATCCAATCCCTCTAAACCCATCCATCCATCTATCTACCAACCCAACAACAACACCTAAATCTACTCCCACCCACCCACCTAATCATCATCCCAATGCCTCCTACTAATAATAATCGGCCTCGCCGGATCCCACGGCCCATAAATCTCATTCTTGTACTTCTGCATCCCAATCAACCACCAACTACACCCCCCAATCGCCACCGCCGAGATCAAACACCCAACCACCATCCCCGCCAACCCTCTCTTCCACGGCCAGGTTGTTGCCGATGACTCCCCCAATATGATCCCCACCCCACCTCCCGCTCCCAAAACCAGCAGCACAGTCAACAGAACATGATACCGCCAGCTTCTGTGTCTAGCGTACTGTCTAAACACCGGAAAGAGGCCAAACACCTCAATGCTAAAAAGCGTGAGGGAAAAGACCTGGCCGGTGGAGGGTAATCTCGAGGCGAGGACGGTGGAAGCCATCAATGCGGCATTGGTGGAGAGGGAAGCCACAGGCATTTTCTTGGGTTTGTGAGGACCAGTAATGTGAGAGGGAGCGCCGCCCGAGTAGTCAAAGAAGAAGATGTTGATTGCTAGCAACCAAAAGGACATGGCCCAGATGGAATCGGACGAGGTGGATCGGGTGAGGGATTTGAGGATGGGGGAGAGGCCCAGGAGTGTGAAGTAGATGAGGATGGCGGATTTGATAGTAGAGACTCGGAGGTAGGCGCGAGTATTGGGGAGGGAATCGGAGTCAAAGTCGTGGTTTGGACCCCTCGTGCTGGTGGGAGAGTTGGCGCTGTTCTGGGAGGTCACAGAGTGGACTGAAGAGACGGAGCGGGAGTGGGAGTGCCCCGGGGTCAGGAGCTTAGGTGCTGCTGGGTTTTGGGAGATATTATCAGGATACTGGTGGGGGGTTGGGTGTGGACGGTGGTGGTATTGAAGGAGATTGGTGGTTGAGCTGGCTGCTGAGGGTAGGTTCGAGGTGCTCGATATGCTGGCCGTGCTAAGGTTATTTGCGAAAGGCTGGTGAAGACTTGGTCCAGATGTAGAGTCTTGTCGCCGAGGAGGTCGGTATTCTCTGTTTATTCGCCCATCCCGAATGCTCCTTGTCATGTCACCGCTTTCGCCAGCGCTGGTCTGGTCTTCCTGGGTCACCCACCAGTCCCACAGCAGCCATCCGAGAAAGGTAGCGAAGCTTCCCCATCCTACCACTGAGACGGGGCTCACCCGCTCCTGGAATATACCCACGAAGCACACAATGAATATTGTGACGGAGCAAACGTGCTGCAAGATGACGGTCGAATCGGCGACCAGGGGCCAGAAGTCATACGGCTGCACCCGTGGGTTGCGTTGGAGGTTCTCGAGGAAGGTAGCTTGGTCGGTATAGTTGTCGGGATCTGGGATTTAATTGTGTAAGCTAGGGAGCAACCATCGGTTGACAGTCTGACAGTCTGGTATCGCACATGATTGCTTCACCCATAGGAGCTTCTGAAAACGCTTCCGCCTTCTGCTTCTACTCCTGCTTGTGTCATTGCGCCTGATATGCCGTGGCCGCGTATCGGTACCACTGTCAAAGATTCCCGCCTGTCTGGGCGGTGAAATGGGCGCGTAGGCGTCCTCGGGGGCCAGGTGGGATGGGTCGGCGCGGTGCGACTTGAGGCTCGCAGGGACGGTCGACGAGCGCACCAAGGCCGGGAAAGGCTTCTCAAAGTCAGAGGGGATGGCCGACTGATGGAGGCCCGACGGAGGGGCCATGGGGTGGAGTCACTGCTCTCCCATATGCACAATGTTATTGTCGATGAATGCCACGGCAGATGCTAGACATGTAGGGACAGGAATCTGATGTGTTTGCCAGCAGAGGCCGCATTGGCAACCACTGGCACTGGCGTGTGGCAGACAATCGCCGTCCTTGGCATCACGCACGCTAAAAGCTTGGGCCAATTCTTGATATGTGGGGCACCCACGGGGCACGCTTGTTCCATATGCAGGTCCCACCATCCTCAACCGATGTGATTTCTATGTACCTTGCACTTTCTCTCGTCCCGTACGGAAATGCATCAAATCCAACGACGAGAGCCCATCTTTTCACACATTCCTCATTGCAGGCCTTCTTCTTACGCAATTGGGGAACATTTGGAAACGTATGTGTCCTTATACGATCAAGGGACATTCCTAGCGACGGCTCCTTCGACGCGTCAGCTGTGTTCGTATTGGATTCGAGGTGGATCATTATCACCAACATGTCGCCAAAAGCAGCTGCCAGTTTTAGCGGTTCCATTGAATTCAAAAATGAAAACATGCAACTCTCCCAGGCACAGAGCCAGGGCCCCGTCCTTGCGCCTTGCGGACCGCTTGTGTAACCCAACAGCACCTCCTTGATGTGGCACGCATGAAGGGGTCAAGCTTTCCTGTTCTTCTCCCGAGCGGCATCCGGGCCCACCACATGGTCAGGCATTTTACGAGATGGCTTCGATCGCTCCAGCCAACGGTACCGCTGGTCTGGATACGTATTGATGCGGCGAAGATGGCAGTCTTGAGGGGCTGCAATTTCACTCCGTCTCACAGCGATGGACATGCCCTATTCTAGCTCAACGGCCGTGACCAGGAGAGGCATCCGTTGCCAATATTGACTATCGGTAGCTCACGTTACAGAAAAAGACGGGCCGTTTATGCAGATGGCGTCTTGGTTCAAGCTCAGGATAGGCATGAACCGCGGCTTTTCTGAAGTTCACAAGTTTCTCACGACGGTCAACCGGCGTCGTTTTGGGTTGCTCGTATGATGGGTCGTTGGTCCGGACGGTGTCCGGCTTCGCTCATCGAAATACGAGGTTTTCTGTGTCGCTTCGACTTTCCCCTCCCTTTTCAGCACCCCGCAAGAGAAGGAAGGGAGGGACAGGGCTGCCAAGTTGACCCCAATCTTTCCGGCACCTTGTCTCGTCCTCGCCGTCGTCTGGCATAGGTATGTCTATTTTCTAGCGTGGTCCGCTTCATGATCGGGTTCAATGTTGGCTCAACGGTTGCATACCGGTCCTAGAAGCTTGGGCTTCGTTGAGGTGGTCACCACAGTATAATAAATCCGATACACAATAGACTGCCCGCCCTGGGACTGGCGCCAAGAGCGGATTGCGATGCACTGCGGCGCAGTGTCTGCTCGACGATTCGGTTGGTCTAGACTCTCGTGTGCATGGCGGCGTCTAACACACTGGCCTGTTGGCCTGGTGCCCCTGCTTATGGACCTTCGTCCTCTGTGAGCTCGACGCCATCGTGAACTGCCCTCCTGGTCCTGGCTTCCTCATAAAAGCCCAACCACCCACCTGCCTCCCCAGGGGCCACACGCCGTCCTTTTCAACTGCTTTGATACCTGTGTAACGGCGTTTGCAAGCTCAATTTCTCCTCTTCCTCAATTTAGCCTGCTGCATCTGCTAGGAGTTCTACTCGTTGCTTTCTTGTCTTTTACATATTACGGCCGGCATATTCACCAGTCTGGGCTGCTTCTGCCAATTACCCGGCCTCACTGACCTTCGAATTTCCTCATCACTGCGCACCATTGCGCCTCGGCATCCCCAAGCTCCGGGCTCCTGCTCCTGCTTCTGCTCCTGCTCCTGCTCCTGCTTTGTCTGGATTACCTCATCGTCGCATCCCGTTTCGGGCTCCGACGGTTCACTGCTTTGTTCTTTGTCGCCGGGCGGCCCTGAAAAAGAACAACCGATTCGAAGACCAATCCTACCTAAATTGTTCCACTCCCACACATAGCTTCGTGAAGCTCTAATCGCATATCGAAATGAGGTGGTCCGGATTCTACATTGCGCTCAGCCTTGCGCACTTGGCAACATGTGCGCCTGTGGCTGTTGTGTTGAAGGAACGGTTGGAGGTCGTTTCGGACGCTGTCAATGGGGTGGTGTCTGTCCTCCAGTCCCGATCAAGCGAGCTTTCAGGTATTATTTCTGAGAAGAGCCAGGACGAATCTTCGCAGACACCAATAGAAGTCGGCTCGCCACAACTGCGACCTCTCACAAAACACCGACCCGCGACACTTTGGCTGGAGGATGAAGAAGGATCACCGGTGGTGCCGCTTGTCGATGAGGATTTCCTGGAGGTTACGGAGACCGACGTCGATATCACCTTGTGCTCGTTTGCCAGACCCGGAATGCCGTGCCGCCATGGGAGGATACTACGTGAGAACAACGATATGCTCATCATCTACCTGGCGACGTCGTTCCTCCTGGTAGTGGTAATGGTGGAGACTTGGGGGAGCTATGTTCGGAGGTGAGTTACGATGAATGAAAGTGAATTGAAGGAGCTTTGCTAATGGGTACACGACAGACAGGAACAAGGCACAATTCGGTTGGAGGAGAGCCCGGTTCGAGAGGTGTGCTCTGTTCAGGCAGACCCAACTCCGGATGTTGCCCAGGATGTGTCGGATGAGAAGAAGGCTTTGTTGTGATGGTCGATATAGGATGGCTCGAGGTTGCGCTTCACTTTTGTTTTGGTGGCATTCGATAGTAACACCGCCAAACATCGCATTGGCTTGGTCATCAATGAGTCAACTAGATGCTGGCGATGGTGAGAATCGATTTGTCATGCTTTATCGCTATGTCTGGGCAGGCGAGAAGGAAGTTGCTGACTTGAAAACATTACACAATCTTCAATATAATTCATATTAGGTTCCCTCACACAGTTGCCGCCTACACATCGATGGCAATACAGTGCCTTGTGCAACAGTATTCAAGCCCGTATGTGTTTCGTATGGTCACTCAGCAATAGGCCGATGTGAGCCCCCAGGGAGTCTCACTCTGGTCCCACAAACCAAGCCCAACGTATTCAGCTCCGTTCACTCACTCAACTCCGCGGAGTTCTGAGAGAGCAATATATTGCAAAGGTTGATATATCCGACGTGTTATGACGTTAAGTTCGGCTTCTATACCCGTGCCAAGGACACTGGTGGCTGTGTCCGGTCGCCCCGGGGTCCGCCTTTGGGATATCGGCGCCGGAAATGCGGGGTTCGGAAGTCCCAACCGAGCCAAGAGATGCCATTCCCATCCCGTGATGCCAAGTATTCCATCGCCAAGGGCCCGCAACTCCATGTATGAGGCTGTTCACTCTGATCACAAGCCACATCATCGGCATGCGGCTCGTGAGTTCTCGATGCCCACTCGCGGGTTTTAAACACTGTATTGATTGCATAAGTCGAGCTCGCGAAATGCAGAGTGTGTGAGAGCGAAGATTACAAACGAGTTTTTTTATCAACGAATAAGACACCAAGATTTCTCCTCAGGATGCAGAGAGCGGCGTGGTAAAATGCCCACTGATGTTTCATGGCTTACGGGACTCTCATGCAAGCCCAGCCATCTTCAACCCAATCACGAGTGATCCCAACAGCCCAACCCAGCACAACCCCCCCCTCCCCCCTCCCCTCCCTTGATACCCATGCCTTGCCTCAGGCCTTCAGCCTTTCCTTCCTGATCTTCGTCCGTCTGGGTGTCAGCTGTCCCCGACCATTATCTTTTTGCTCTTCTTCTTCTTCTTTTAGATGAAAAAGATCTCGGTTTCCCCCTCCTCCCGCAAAGAGATAAAGTCTGAAGTTTTGCTGCTGCAACCGCATTATTTATCAGACGACGCCAAGACTTACCCACGATCTCATCTCATCTCAGCTCAGCTCGCGGGCGCTGCGTTTGACAACGAACGAACTACTTAGCTCACCCCGCATTTTGGGTCCTCATCCGAACTCCGAGCTCAACAAACAGTTTGCCTGCGCGTTGAAAGAAAGCTCAACCCGGCAATCTCATCATTCATCTCATAACCTGCCAGCCGACGCGAAAGCTTATTTCCTGAATTATTAGCAAAGACGGCAAAAAAAAAAATGTCTCTGCAGGTTGACGACGGTGGTCGCCGTGCGCGGTCCCGTTCCCCCAGGGGCCGCCGCGCCGATGAAGACCGCGACCGAAGCCGGGGCCGGAATCCGAATGTTGTGGAAGCATCGCCGTACCCGAGCTCTACCGACCTAGGGGGATTTACCCCGTCTACTGTCACCGCGTACAGCGAGTACGAGCGGCTCTCGCAGTGGGGTTCCGCTGCTGACGAGGATTTTTACGGGGCGCGGCCTCCGTCGGTGGTGAATCTCCAGGGACAGGGTCATATTTATGGGGATCCTCTAGAGGCTGAGTACAGCCGGTATGGTGGTGGTGGTGGTGGCAGAAGAGGAGACCGCGACCGGGACTCCAACAGCGACGCGGGGAGAAGGAGATATGCCCCCGAGATTCGCACCGCCGAGCCAATGTCGTCTTCACCTCGGGACTCGCGTGATTCATTTGGGAGGGACTCCGACAGGGAACGCCGTCGCCGGGAGAAAAAGGAGAAATTGCAGGAAGATCTCGCGTATGGGAAGCTACCGGGGCCGTCGAAGTATGATGCTCCGGTTTCGCAGTCGATTCCCATTCCTATTCCGAACCACCCGTCAGCATCGGCACCGTCGTTTAGCTATGCCCAACCGAAACCCTACGAGTATGGTTCTGTTCCTAAAACCGACCGATACGGCACCTCGTTGGAACCCGCCGCTTCTCGCCCAGGCCGCTCCCCTTCTCCTGGCCCATCCTCTCCGTTAAAATCCGCCATGAAGAGGACTAGCTCCCCCTTGCCCCCAACAAACCGCATGTCTACCTTATCAGTCCACACCCCTCACCACTCGGCCAGCATGTCCCTCTCCTCTTCACCCCCTTCCCCATTGCTGGAGGCATATCACGGGACATACCAATCCATGTCCCCTATGCCCTCCCCCCTCTTGATACCCTCCTCCCCGCACCACATCCTCGAAGCTCTCTCCCCCCTCGGATCAGACTCCGAATCAGAAAAAAAAAAGAAACGTCGCGCGCGGTTTCACGACCCGGTCGACGACGCGGCCAGACTGGCCAAAGCGCTCAAGGGGGATAGAAGACCGCCGGAGACGGAGCCGCTGATTGAGATCTTGCCAGGGATGTCCCACGAGCAGATTATGGAGTTACGGCAAGAGTATAAACGGCTGGTGAAAACGGGCACGGAGAGAAAAGGGGTGAATATCGCGAAGCATATCCGCGCCCGGCTCAAGGATGAAGACCCCAATCTGATGAAGGCGTGCTATGCGACTGCGCTGGGGAGGTGGGAGAGTGAGAGTTACTGGGCGAACTTTTGGTATCATGGGGATAAGACAAGACGGGAGCTGCTGATTGAGAGTTTGATGGGGAGGAGCAATGAGGAGGTGAGGTTGATTAAGGATGGGTTTAGTGATAAGAAGTATGGGAATAGTTTGGGGAAGGCGATGAGGCAGGAGCTGAGGGAGGATAAGTTTAAGAAGGCGGTTTTGATGGTGCTGGAGGAGAAACGACAAGAGGATGTGTGGGATTCGAGGGAGAGGAGGTGGAGGTTGGATGGGGATTTGGTGGAGGGGGATGTGAGGGAGTTGTGGAAGGCGGTGAAGAGTGAGAAAGGGGGGGAGAGTAAGATGTTGGAGATTGTGGTGGGGAGGGGGGAGGAGCATTTGAGGGAGGTGATGAGGGTTTATAGGGAGGTTAGTAAAGGGGGGAATTTTGCGAAGGATGCGTTGAGGAAGAGTGGGAATTTGGTGGTGAGTTTTCTCTTTTTTTCACTTGACATACTTTGATATGGGATACTGATGAAGTGAAAAAAACAGGGCGAGGTTCTGGCGCATATTCTCAACGGGGTGATCAACAAGCCGATGAGGGATGCGATGCTGCTCCAGCATGCGCTCAAGGCGTCGAAGAAGGACGAGCTGAGGAAGGAGCTGTTGATTTCGAGGTTGGTGAGGTATCACTGGGATGGGAACCACATGCAGCAGGTCAAGAGGGCGTTTAGGGAGCAGTATGGCATGGATTTGGGCGATGCTGTCAAGGAGGGGACGAGCGGTGAGTGGGGAGCTTTCTGCAGGGCGCTGTGTATCACGCGGATGCCGGATGCTGAGAAGGTGATCGCGAGGGTTGATATTCATCGGAGGTGAGAGCATGCTGAGGTAGGAATGATGGATGTGGATGATTTACACAAATTTGGAGCGAAGAATGATGAGCTTGGATGAGTTGACGTTTGGTAATGATGGCTTTTTACGTATTGCTATATATTTTCTTTAGTCTGATCTCCTTACTATACCATTTATCTTGGCTTTTATCTTCTTTCGTCTATGTTACGTTCCTTCCTTCCCTTGTTATACCATCTAGCTTGAACTTCAAGATTAGGTTTTATGCAATTTACTTTTGCTATATTGCTACTCTCAATCCGAACTTCTCATTTTGCAAACACCAGACACCAGACAACAGCAAGTCCTCACACATTGTGGCAGGCCCATGAGTAGTAGTGTAATCTATACACAACTAGGTATACAAAGCAAACGAAAAAAGACAAAAAAGGGACTCCAGTCTAGACCCGCCGAAGAAATATGTTCCAAATGACAAGGGTGAGATTCAAACTCACGCCCCTTTCAAGACCACGGAACTCTGGGTTTCTCTCTCGAGTACTACCCAAGTGTGAATTAAGGCAAGATCCCTAACGTGGCGCCTTGGACCGCTCGGCCACCTTGCCCTTTGTTTTGATGTTTGCTGAGGGCTGGAAGAGACAGTTTTGTGTGATGGAATAGGGGTTATCGTGGGTTTCTCGGGAGTCAGGGTAGGGTTAGTCCTTGTTGGTGTGAGTTTGGGGTTGAGAGCTGGCGAGGCAGCAGAGGTTTGACCATGAGTTTAGAGGTTTGGTGAACGGCGAGCCCGAGCGACTCAACTGCAGGCTACAATACTCGGAGAGAGTGTGGGATATGTATAGAGGTGGGTGTGATCCTAGGAAAGCGTCTCTGAGGATGTCTTAGATCTTCCCTATGTAGAAGGTGTTTGGGCTGGTTTGGATGTTGGGAGCTGAGAGTAGGCGGTGAAGGGCTTCGGTAAAGATCAGGATGCTGGGGACAATAATGAGGCGGATTGGTCTTGGCGAAGGACACGTGGAGGTATGTCTCATAGGAAGCAGATTGGAATCTGTATGAAGTACCTACGTTTGATCCAACATCTCCCTGCATCATGGCAGGCTGATGGCTGGCTGAGATCCTTTGAAGCAACATATAGGCCTCGGACTGGAATGTATTCTGCAACTGGGCGTTTTCCGGGGAAATATGTGAGCTTGGCACCCGTTATAAATAACATACCTGAGCACAGCCTTACGGAGCATGTAAAGTAGGTACTGTACTTACATGACCCCATATTCAGGGTTTCTGCCAAGAGGCGGCAGGCGGGAGACATGATGGCGAACTGTCTCGTCCGTCATATGTGTCAGACAACCAGTGGAATTCCATTGTTGCCTTGGATATCGAGATGTTGAAACTCACTGTCTCGGGCTTGCCGAGCGGTGTTGAAGATGGCAGTTTAGATGGGCAATGCTTGGCTTGACCTACCTTACCTTGGTGGGTCCGGCATTGTTTGTGCCAAGGATTACCGGCGGTAGGGCTCAATGATCACCCAAGACGGGATGACGTCAAGCCTATACGAAAAAGAAAATTTGGCGCTACGGGCCCAGCTCCGAGAATTGTGAACGGCTCAAATTCATCTTTTGAAAGGGGCATCGACTGCCATCGACCTCCATCAAGGCGGTGGCCAAAGCGGATTCTCTTCACACTTGACGCCGTGCTACCCGATCCTACAATATACTCCTGACACGATCTACAACTCAATCCCTCGAATCGATAGTCGACGTTTCCTCCAGTTCGCTGGTTCGCTCTTCAGGGATGATCACGCCACGAATAGGGATTCCCCACTCGATACAGCTTCGAGGCTCGGTTAAGTCTCGCTCTTTGGCGTAACCAGGCAAAACATCGAGAAGCCAAAATCGGTCTGCTCTTTTGTTGGCGACGATGACGATGTGGGGAGTTCGACGATCTTTCCCCGTTGCAAGGTTGCACAGATAGTGTACAATTCTTTAGGTGTTGAATCGCTATCGGTGCCCATAGCAGTAGCAGGACACAGTAAGACCGTCATCGTAGGACAACCCGTTGTTGCATCGGCATCCCAAACCCTCGGATATGCCAACCGGAGAATACCATCTTGACGTTTCACAGCGCCGGCAAACTGTCTGGCCCTGGACGGGCTGACTCATACCGTCTCGCACTCGAGTGCGAACAGACGCCAGCCACATTGATCGTCAGGTTCTTTCCCCTATCTCAGGATATCTTTTGAGCAGATTACCCCTCACCTAAGCTCATCTTCACCACAAAACCAATCACGGACGAGCAAGTGGTGTTGGCGGTGCGGTCTAGTGCCCCGTACCTAGTGTAGTTCCACTGACCCCAATAGTGCGCAGATTAGTGTTGGACTGATTCTAGAAACAATCAAGCAATTGCCAAGGCCCGTCAACCCAACTCCTGGGTTGGAGATACAAGGACAGCAGTGTTGATAAGGCTGCGGCGAACCGCGCCTGGGCCAGGATCCGGGGTGGCTGCAATACCGAGTGACCGCCTGTGACGAGCGTCAGCAACTGCAACGCTGTCCCTAATAAGGACGAATAGGAGACCCCCTCGGTGGTGTGAATAGCTTGTCTTAGTCTGACCAACGAAAACGGTAAATGTTGTACGACGCTGCTATATTGTCTCCTTCCAATACTGGTATCTCACAGGGCTAAGGATTCGGCTGGGGAATGTCAAGATGTTCGACAGCCCAATGACAAGTAACGGCCCCGGTTGATGGTAACCAGTGCCCTCGAAATAGCGGCTGCCTATATTCTACTTCACTCAAGCAGAGCTCTCCGCCATGATCCTTCAAGGCGATGTCTGGTCTATGATTTTGCCGAACGATCTCGGCATTCTCATACGGGGACGGACTCTAACAAAGGGACACGCAAATCTGTGCAGGACCTTTCAGTGGGCCCATAAGCATGTCAAAGACTGTTTTGAATAGGGGCGTCACCGATCTTTGACTGGGTTTGACTGGGTTTGACTGTTTCTTACCTGATGATTGATTACCTTTTGTGGTGATGGCTTGGTCAGCGAGGCTCAAAACCCGTTGTTTGGTAACAACATTGTTCCAACTGGGATTCGGCGAGGGTTGGACTGTCAACACCGACCCGAGTGGTTCTCGCAATCAAAGGGCCTGATGCTTGCCGAAGAAGCAAGACGGTCTGGTGGAGGAGTTTCGGGTCTTCTAGGCTTCTTCTATAGTCTTCCGTTGCCCCATGACGGCGACAATTCGGGATGAAACAACCAGGGTTGAGGTCAAGAAATGTCACTCGCCCGCCATGTGGGAATATGAATATGCACACACAATCACAGCTCGGAGGTCGGCCTTTGGCACACACGAGTTCCGCGGGGATGACTTGGAGGTGCCCCACCTTCACCGAACCAGCACCAGCAAAACAGAACCCCCACCACAATAACTGGAATCGCTAGGGCAAGCCACTTACCACTCATGAAGCATCACATCACCAACCATCACCATCACCATCACTATCACCAACACTCATCATGAATACCACGAGGTATGTCAGATTCACAAAGGGCAACTGGCCTGCCAATCAGCTCAGTCACAGAGAGAACCTTTCGAACAGATAGATGGATAATTTCAGTTCGGTCGGTTTTCGGCAGCGGAATATCCTGATCGGAGACAATACGGGATGTTTCCGATCTTGATCATCCGGGTTTTTTCTGATCGCGAACAAGCGCTTTTCAAACTTCTCCACGTCGGGATCTACCTTGTCACCCTGAGTTTCCACTTTCTTTTGTTTTCTGTTTCTTTGATTTTAGTGTACCACATCCTGACGAGTAAGTAGAGCCTTACACGGCAGCGGATCCAAAATCCACTTGGCCGTACGGAGTAATGATACTAAGATCTAGCAGAGATCGACGCAGCAGGCAGAGACACAGTGGGCATAGGGCTTCTTGAGAAAGGCAACAAGTTTGTTGCTGGGTGATACACAGTAATGAAGGGTGTTTTAGGGGACCACGGGGACCTCAGTGGTGTCCACAGTCTTTTGTCCTCGAGGGAGCAGTATCATGAAGTTTGCGCGCTCTCGGGGATAACCAAGAGACCGACCGCTGAGGCCGTCCAAACACGGTCCAATACCACATCAAATCCCCCCACACACCCACCACCAATACGCAAAAATGCGATACTTGCGCCCTTGGAGGAACGCCGCAGGCGATTCATACAGGCAACCTGGAAGGTACTGTACGTACTGAGGGGATCATTCCATCCATGAGCGGTGTTGGACCGAGCGCGTGGGCTTTGCCGGTACACACACTCACGAGTACGTGAGACCTGCATCGCATCGCCTCGCGACAAGTAGTGTACAATTGTTGAGCTTTTCCGGTGTTTTCTGTGGTACGAGGCGGCCACCAGCCAACTCAAAAAAGCCCACTTCAGCCAGGTTTAGTCATCAAACAAGTAGTGTACTTGTGTCCCCAGACCCCCAGTCCCAGTCCCAGTCCCAGTCCCCAGTTCAGTCCCCATGTTCCTCATCATGCCCCTGGTCGGTCCCCTTGAACCCTGTCAGCATATCTTCTGATGTACCCGTCATCCATGTCGCTTCTCTCCCAGCTAAGAAGAGGGCCGCGCATCCTCTCAACCTCAGTGTTCATTAATAATCCCCTGTTCCCCTTCTTCCATTTGCTCACTTGCTTATGCACCCACTCCCCCTCGTTCTTGAACACTGCTCTTGGCTTGTCCGTGCAAACCACCCCGATCTCATCTATTACTTCTTCATCCCACACCCCCCATTGGATCTAGCTCACCCTTATAAGACCCGTTCTTGCCACCATCGTCTTGACACCTTCTCAGTTTTGAAAGACACCAACTTTGAGTTTGACCGTTTGACATCTTCACAAGTGAACCAAAGAAGTTTATTGCCACACACAAACCACACAATGGAAGGCTTACCAACCCCACCCAACGAGGACTTCTTCGGAGCTCACAAGAGACACCACACCATTTCCAAGTCAGTCAAGGCCGTCCACAGGACATCAAAACGCACCAGCTACCACGGCCACCCCCCTTCGCCCGTCCACGACGCCCACTCATCACACAATGGAGACAACAGGCACAAGAGAGTGTGGAAGGCCTGCGAGAGGTGTAGAATGAAGAAGACCAAGGTTGGTTTACTGTCTACCAGCCCGATGTTTTCTGTTAACTAACCACTTCTCAGTGCGATGGCGAGTTTCCCTGCAAGAGGTGTAAAGACGACGGACTTGTCTGCACAGCCGGTGTTCGCAAAAAGACCGAATACAAGCAACTACCACGCGGATACGCAGAGGTGCTCGAAAACACCCAGTTCGCCCTCATCGCCACAGTCCACAAGCTCTATGCCATGGTCCGAAATCACCAAACATGGGACCTCGGCGAGCCAGATATCAACGACAGAGGCCAGCCAGTGATCCACAACATCGCCTCCAAGCTCGGGTGCATACGGCCCAGTGGGGACATGGACCTCCCTCCCCATGCCGTTTTCCCTGAAGACGAAGCCAGCCTTGCGGAACTCGCCAGACAACTAGAAGCGCAGCAACGAAGAGAGGTCGTCATCGCTCCATTACCCAGCAACACCGCCCAAAGCCATAGTCA